AGCTGTGTCATGGAGCTATTTACCTGTAGAAGAAATGTGCATTATGAATTGAGATGATGAAATACTTTAGATTATAAACCTTTGATTGATGAACAACTTTTAATTACTTTTTTTTATCTCTGGACAGAAAGAATATGTTTTTCATTGGACAGAAAAACTTGAGTTTTGCTTATATTTGTTTAGGGGAGGCTTAAGGATGGACTGGTAGACTGGCTGGATAACTTGGAGCACAAATGACAATTGACTGAAACATTTTAAATCCCTAAATAGATTGGACTATAGAAACCACATATAAAAACAAAATAGATCTTCTATACTCAGCTTTAAATGGTAAAAAACCATCTCTAACACTTATCTCCAAAGTCCCCAGCTTGACATATCAACAAGAAAATGTTGACAAACTCAGAAGAAAATTCTTTGTATGTTAAAATTAATACAAGAGACAATTGCCTTAGCTCATGATGAGACTAAAAATAACACAAAGGAGATAAAAGAACAATTTTCTAATCTAAATCCACAAATTTAGAAAATGACTATAAAGAAGGAACTAATAATTCAGAAAATAGAAGGAAAATTAGAGGAAGTGGACCCCAAGTTGGAGGACCTAAAGGAAGAAATTAACAAACAGACTCAGACAAATGAAGAATTAGAAGACATCGCAATAATACCATAAATGGGAAAAAATATTTCCTGTCAAGATCTCAAAACACTCTTGAGGATAAGGAAGAAGAACTGATCGAATGGAAGATAAAGCTGTTGGGAGAGTTGTAGGAAATTGGAGAAGGAAGAAAGCTGTTTAATGAATATCAACAGGCTGAGCATTCTTCCAAAATACCTTAACCAAATTGTCTTACTTATTCCAAACAATATACATAAAAATAGATGATTCAAAGGCATTGATTTGGAAAGTTAGTTGGCAAAGGAAAAAAGCTAGAGTAAGATTGAAAATAGAGGTCTTGACCTATTAGATGGGATATTATACAATTAAAGAGATGTTTGAATACAGCTAAGAGAATAGATAATTGTTAGAAATAGAAATGTTATTAGAACTAGAAAGATAGGATTTATAACTAGAATTTTATATTTTGATATGAGAAGGGAAATATGAAAATGCTAAGAGGGTTTGAACAAGGAAAGTCTTTGGTTGCCCAAATATAATTTATTATGAGAAAATTATAAACGATAGAGATACTTTGAACACTGATGGGAAATCTTTTTTAAAAAAAAAACGGGGAAAACAGGATATTGATTGAACAAATGGATATTAAATGCAAATGCAATTGAGATATGTTTTGGTTAGAAAAAATATTTTAAATTGATACTACTGATATTATATATAATATTAGAAAAATGTAACAAAGATGCTGGTATTCAATTGCATATGTATTAACAGCAATAAGAATTGTATTTGCTCGATATGGAAAATATCTAACATCGGAAGAAGAGAGGAAGCACTGGATGGTGTAGTATTGTATCTAGATTGAGGAAGTTAATATGTACCACTAAATTACTGATGAACCCAGACAACACGTTGTTTATTAAGTACTTATGATTGTAAAACTAGAAAATTAATAAAATACTTATAAAAAAATAAGAAATGTATCATTTTAAAGCAATTTTGGAGGTTGTGCACGAGACTTAAAACTTCTATTTTTATTTTTGCTGGATGCTTAGTATTGATATCACACAGTTTCCCAGGGTGGGGAAAATAAATAGAAATGGGGAAAATATTTGGATGGGGTGGAATAAAGAAATATCAAGAAAGATCTGTGTAACCCCTCTTCTTGCACTTCTTCCCGATTACCAATTCAAGACTATCTTACATTATAGATATAGTTCCAGATACAAATCCATGGTCAGAAATAATTATAATCTTATTCTCTCTCTCTCTCTCTCGCTCTCGCTCTCGCTCTCGCTCTCTTTCTCTCTTTCTCTCTTTCTCTCTTTCTCTCTCTCTCTCCACCCTTTATCCACTCATTGCTTTATAAGTAACTCAAGGTGGTGAACATATCTAATATTCCTCTTCCTCTCCCCCCCACAATAATATCCCTCTAAGGTAAGTTGGGCTAACGGAGAAGGACTTGCCCAAAGTTACTCAACTGGCTTTCATACTTCAAAGGACTAGAATTCATAATCTGGTTTATAGACCAACATTTTAACCACTGCACCAAACTATGTTGACATACATTATGTTAATAATGTTATTACAGATTACAAATTACATATTATGCACACACATTAACTATGTTAACATATACCAAGCACACTGAATTTGATATAACAGAGTTTGTATTTGAAAGCTAATCTTTCAGCTTTATCTGTAAAAGAAAAAAGCAATACTGCATTTATCTGACAAGATTGTCCCATCTTATTTCCAAATAATTTAGTTTTAAAATGGAAAGATAGCTCAGATTTAATAGCACAGTAATAGAAGCAGGTGATTTGGTTTTTTTTTCTGCCTAATATTTATTTTGGAGTGGGTTATTTAAAATACAGTTATCTTCCCTTCAGGTAATTATGAGTAAAAAAATGGAGAGAGATTTCTTTTAAGAGTAATATAATATGAACTGCATTGAGTATTTAGGAAATTTTGTTGAATACATGCTAAGAATGATGTACTTTTTCTCTCTTACCCATAAATAGAACAAAATTTAAATTATTCATAATGAAATTAATATTTTTCGTAGGAAGTGATATTTCTTTTTCTTTTTGAAAAATCTGTTTTGGATATAGCAGTATAAAGAAATATTCTTGGAAATAATACAGCATTGTGATCCTCTTGATGGAGAAATTCTATAATGAAATTAAAGCTAAATGGACTGTTGCTTCCTTAATGAAATTTCAGATTGTGTTTGTGTCTGTCCTATAAAGAATATTAGAATGGAACCTGAGTTGATAACATGCTTCGCCCAAATTCCATTGTATTTGTTTTCCATTCTAGTTTTTAAAGCTATGTAATCCACCATCTAGCTTCTCCTCTGTGCAGTACCAGATAAAATGTAATCAAATCAACTGTTAACATATCTACTCTTCTTACACAGAACTGAAGCTATTTCCATCCTATTTTATTTTATTTGATTCCCATCTCCATCATCTCCAAATTGTATTTAAAATAGTGCAATATTGAAACAGCTTGATTATTTCAACAAAATAGGTAATTTCTAGCTGGGTGAGAATCCATATATTTCACTCAACATGGGTGGCTGTAATCTTGGCTCTCTGTTAGCTAATGATTAACAGAATCTATTAAAGAATGAATAGATTGCGAAGGAATGGCTCATATTTCCTATATTCCCTCTCTTTCAAAAAAAATTGGCTGTCTGCTAATGGAAGTGTTTTTCAATCTAATCTATTCTAGTCAGTTTATTGTTCAGCTCAGATGGCACTGTAAAAAAAACTTATCAAGTTTCTTGGTATAATCAGTGTTTAAAGAGTCTGGTTATAATAAATCCTGATTTTATGATCAAAGCTAACCAGGATCACACGTCTACTTTCTGCTGAACAATAAACTGGCTAGAATAGATTAGATTGAGAAACACTTCCATTACCAGGGAGCCCTGCCAGTAAATCCCAGAATCTGCCACCACAGTTTGACCAGCTACATTGTCATGCTGGCAGAAACATCGAGAAAAAAAAAAGCTATGGAGAAGGAGGTAAATTATGCTAATCTTCCAGACATTGTCTCTCAATCTTGGCAGCTTTAAGATCTGTGTGGACTTCAACTCCCAGTGTACATGATAGCTGGGGAATTCTGGAAGTTGAAGTCTACACACCTTAAAGTTGTTAAGATTGAGAAACCCTGCTCTGGACTACTACTTCCTACACAGTTCCAGTCCTAAAGACTGAACTGAGTTCTCCTTTCAAAAACCTCTTTCTGAAACAATGATAATTTCAATAAATGTAATTCAGACTGGGTAGCCTTCTGCTGCTTTGGCAAGTTACTATTAAGTATCTAGCAACAGAGACTTCCTTAAAGCAAATTAATTCTCTAGGACAGTGGTTCTCAACCTGTGGGTCGGGACCCCATTTGGGGTCGAACGACCATTTCACGGGGGTCGCCAAACAAGGCTGTCCGCCATTTTTTCCCCCTTTTCTTTGGCAACACCCCTGGCACCCGGTGATGTATAAGTGGTTGGGGGGTCACCACAACATGGGGAAGTGTATTATGGGGTCGCGGCATTAGAAAGGTTGAGAACCACTGCTCTAGGAATTGGGGATGTGACATGTGAAGGAAGCATGCAATTTCACTCTGTTATTGCTATAGTTACTTATATATTACTCTTTATTTATATTATACATATATTGCATTCATTCTTTAATTGCCTTGCAGTTGCTTCACTCTATTTGGTAGTATTTGTCTACACTGATGCATTTATTAGGTTCAGTGTATGATAATACCATCCTGGGACAGAATAGAAAGCCTAAAACAGAAGTCTCCGTTGGTTTAGAGCAGAGGTGGGGAACGGTGGCCCTTTTATGACTTGTGGACTTCAACTCCCAGAATTCTGAGCCAACATAATGAATTGAAGTCCACAAGACATAAAAGGGCCATCATTCTCCACCCCTGGTTTAGAGTCTTTGTACAACCTGATCTCTTTTGAATGTACAGGGAGAAATACTGCTAAAAAAAAAAAAAGAATAACACCATCTTATATGTACTTGGCAGGAAAATTACAACCTCACTTCATATTAAAACACCTTGGCTTAATTCATATAATTTAAAACAGCAAGATATCCAGTTCAGTGTCCCCAAATGATCCCTTCATCTTTCAGGCTCAAATGACTTGAGAGATAATCAGTGCAGACATAGAAATGCATCTCAATATTTGGGACATTTATTCCCTAAGACACTGATACAGAGGTTGGATATTTTTGACAACTTTCAAGGGAACAGTTGTCTGTTGTCAAGTGGCTGTGCTTAAAAGCTAGCCTTAGGGTGGATTTGCCCCAAATCTAGAATCATCCTGAGCCTAGCATCACTTGTCACTTTTTTTTCTCACCTTTGTTGTAAGAACGCTGTTCTGTTGAATGTCCACTTGGGCGATTTGTCCTGCACCTCCTGATTCAAGGAATTTGTGTTGGGTACAAAGGAAGGATCAAGGAACTTCAGTGCAAACTGTGACCTAAAACAGTTCACATATTTATGCAATCAGTGAAAAGTATTTATGACATTAAGGGCCAAATTAAGGATGTTATCATTTCTATTCACTCTTATCACCACTGTCCATTAGAAGAAGACATTCTCTGATATATGAGTCTCAACATCTAAACATGTTCAGATGGGTGGAAATTACCAACTCCCTTTTCAGATGAGCACTTGTTAGAAAGGCTATTTTTCTATATGGAGGAAGGTTCATTCCCCAGAGGAAAATACAGGTAGTCCTTGACTTACAACCACAACTGAGCCCAAAATTTCTGTTGCTAAACGAGACAGTTGTTAAATGAATTTTGCCCCATTTTATGATGTTTCTTGCCACAGTTGTAAAATGAATCATTGCAGTTGTTATATTAGAAATATGGTTGTTAAGTGAATCTGGCTTCCCAGATTGTCTTTGTTGGTCAGAAAGTCACAAAAGGGGATCATGTGACACCACAAACATCATAGATGTAAGTCAGTTGCCAATCATCAGAATTTTGATCACATGACTGTGGGGGGATGCTGTAATGGTTGTAAGTGTGAAAAATGGTCATAGGTCACTTTTTTCAGTGCTGTTGTAACTTCAAACTGTCACTAAATGAACTGTTGTAAGTTGAAGACTAAATATTATTGCCCTTCTTACAGCCCAACTGCCAGGAAATATACTACAATTAGGTTGCATTAACTATAAAAATTGTATGCTATGACTAGTCTGGAAACAGGATCAGAATAGTTTAGCAATTCAGTTCCTAATTCCTGAAACCGTAACTGCTGACACCATCACCTGGATATGTTTTAGGGGTCTTATTTTTCCTGTAATATGGATACTTTATGATTCTGAGTATTCCACAGCACTTAACCAAACTTTATTGATCTCCAAAGAGCTCAGCTGGTTAGTACTTGGAAGAGAGACAACTATATGAGTCCATGGAGATTAGACTTTAAAAGTTTACATCTATCTATCTATCATCTCTCTCTATCATCTGTTGCAAAGGACTTCTATAGTGCTGCAGTTTTGACCTGTTCTCCCTCTTCTCTAAGTTCACTTTTTAATCTCTCTTTTCAAAGACCCAATATTTCTTCCATCTAATTTTCCATGAGTATCTGCTCTCTAACTGGATGTTCTGTACTTTCAGGCTCTTTTTTGTTTAACACTTCCTCATTCTGTTTTTAATTTCACTGTCTGGTTTGTTCTCTTCCTTGCAAGACTATGTTTCTAAGATCCCCTCTGTTGCGGAGATTAATCACATCGTCAATTCTTTGAATGTTGACTTGTAAGCATCTAAATTGAAAGCATTCATGAACATTATCATTAGGAAAACTCATCCCACTAAACCAAGGATTGGAAATGTTAAGTTATTGTCCAAAGATAAACAAGGGCTTAAGCTGAAAGGAATCCCTTGAAAATCAAGAGGGAAGGGGAGAAATGAAGCTACCAAAAGCTAAGTGGTGAACAGAAACATTCCAAAAAGCAGAATCATATTCTGTGATATTGAGCTACAATTTCCATTATTCTGTATCAGAAAGTAGAGATTGGGAGAAACATAATCCCAAATTCTGGTACCTTCCAGATTCAGAAACATAGGATTTCTCTGTTGTTGGATGATATTTACACAGCAGTTTCCAAAAATTGGTTCAAGCCTATAAAGATTATAACTTTTCTAAAGGTTGTACAACATTCTTTGATTTCAATGGAATGTTTACTAAATTTTCATGAAATGCAAGCAAAATGACTATTCACAGACATCACTTGCCTTTATGACAGTAGCAACCAGAAAAAGAAGAACATGAATAAAAACCTGTCATAAAAAATGAACTGAATTGATTATGAATCAACAATACATTTAAAATAAAATTTGGTTCCATCGATATTTTCCCTAAACATTTAAATGTGGTTGCAGTTGGCTTCCAACTGAAAATTATATGAGTACTTTGGTTAGAAATATAGGATAATATTAGCCCTAATATAAAATAATACATGACGGTCCTATATGCAAACATTTTTGTAAGTATACACATTTATGCAAAGATCATACCTGATGAGTTATATGAGAATTTCAAATTTTCTTTTTAAAAAGGGTAGGCAAAATATAGACTTCCATTTCTTACTGAATCACAATTGCTAGAGGCCTAGGCAATCTGTTAAATGTAGTTCAAACATGTGGTGGACCACATGTTTCCTATTCTTAATCTAAAACATCCTCTAGTCTGCATATAGTTTTCTAATTTATTCATTTATCTGTCATGATTGAGTCAATATTCTTTAAAATATCACTTTGTATATATGATAACTTCTCCATTGCAATGCCATAAGAAAATGGAATAAAATTATTTTCTCTTGTCCTATGATCTGAACCAATGCATTCAAATCGCAACAAACCATATCCTAAATCATAAAGCAATCTTAATAATTAGGATTTCAGTTAAGCCTGAGAATCAATTTCTTGATGGTACCAGCTATTGGACAGTAAACAGACTTAAATGGTAGTGGGCTGTGTTCGATTAAAAAGATACATAACTGCATATTCCTTCCATACTCAGGTGAACATGAAATGGGTCTTCCATATTATCCTTATGATTCTATCAACCTGTAGAAACCTGATCAGATATTTCTGATGAGTCTCCATGACAAGGAATGCTCTGTATAGAAAATGTACAAGCTGGGCTTCCCCATCTGGCTGAAACAATATATTTGGGAGTCACTGGCTTGGAAGGGGATGCTACAGTGACCTATGGTTTAATGATGACTGTGAAATAGCTTATATGTGCTAGAGTCAATGTTAAGATAACAGAACAGAGAAGCAGTTTCCCAACAGTTTGCCAGCAGATTCCATAAAAATATAATGAGTATTGTAAGCTTGGTATTGTTTACTCTGATAGGGCACAGTAAGCTTACTAATAGGTAGCATCTTTCATTCCTTGGGATGCTTTAAACCACTGGGAATAATATTCAAATGGAATGTTTTAAACCCTAAGTGCTCAAAACTATGCCAAATCTTCATGGGTCTGAACTGAAGAGCAGAAAACAGAGGTGCGATCAGCACCATGGACAGTGGCCTTGCTACTCAGCCTCCCTTGCGAGAGGGTTTCCGCCTTCTTCAGCTTTCGGCATCTCTGCTCAATTTTAACTCTTCCCAGCTATAAATACAGGGCGGTGGCGCGGAATGTCAGAGATGATTCCCCCACAACGAGCGTGAGTGGGCGGATGGGTGATCCACTGGCCGAAACACCCTCCCAAACTGCCTTAGTCTAGGGTATATTTGTCTGGCCTCTGGGCGTCCAAGGAAGGCGAAGAATGAAGAAGCCTGAATTATTCTCAAGCCTGGCTGGAACCACCCTCTCCCCCACTCCTAAATTTCTGGCCTTTGGCTCCCCGGCTTTAAACGGGAAAACCAAACACGGGGGAAGCCCAGCGATTAGGAAGGAAAAGTCAAACAAAGGAATCCGCCGTCTTCTCCTGCCCGGTTAGACAGGGAGAGCCCACACCGGACCGAGAGCTGCAAGGAAGGCAGATGGGAGAGGAGGAATTGCGAGGGAGATTAGAGAACCCGCATCGCTTTCCCTTCTTTCGCTTTGCTCATTTAAACACTGCGTATCTGCGATTCCCCGGCGCCAGGGAACACCGGGATCGTCTTCCCCCTCTACGGCCAAAGAAACAAGGCGCCTGCGCCATTAGTCCGTCCTCCGTCCGGAATAAACATGAACCAGCCAAACCGTCAGCTGCCCATCATATTATACATCTACCCCCCCACCTCACCCTACCCCACCCCACCTCGCTACCCCCGCCGGCCACTGATGCAAAAGCTCAAAGCTGCGCGGCCCGATCGATTTCCACACAAAGCATTTTAAAGGAGGGGGTGTTGTACGGTTGGCACAAAAGCCAGAAAGGGGTAGGGGTGTCCCGGAGCGTGGATTCAATAATAATATTCCCCTCTCCCCTCCCCTGCCCTCAGCTTGCATACCCTCTACCCATCTCGCCAGCATGCCTTTCCTCGTGGAAGGGAGGAGGGGGAAGGGAAGACAATCTATGTATAATTTGACAAGCACTCACCTAAATCCGGCATGGAGCATATACATTCTTGGCACTCCCGTGTTGGCATATTTGGGAGTGGTGAAGATGTTGTCTTTTTTCAGGGACACGTAGCTGATCAAGGACAAAATCAAGAGAGCCACGCTGACCATCACTAGCCCCAGAACACTCACCACTCGGACCATCTTGCAGCTTCTCATACCTAGGGCGGGAGGGGGAGAGAGAGAGGGAAAAAAAAAAAAGATATACCCTGGGTTGTGAGAGCTACATTGGAGTTAACACACCCAGAAAGGAGGGATGGATGGAGCTGATGCTTGTGTGCTTGAGTGTGTGTGTGTGTGTGTGTGTGTGTGTGTGTGTGTGTCGATATGGCTAACAGCTAAGGAGGGGGAGGGAAAAACACATGCAACTAAAGGATTAATGCACAGTGTACTGGCACACAGATATACAGGAGCTCAGGCAAATAATAATCATAATGTAATAATGTGGTTAAGATCCAGAGTGTTCAAGAAAGAAACTGAAGGCTTTATTTTACCATCTCAAGAACAAGCTTTGCAGACTAATTGCAGAACAGCAAACTTCATCATGTAATAAACAGCACTAAACATTGCCTTTATAGCAAAAAAGACAAAACCATTTACCATTGATCAGTGGCTGTAGCAAAATTCCACAAGCTGACTATAAGCAACACCATGACTGAGTTGCTAAAATTATTTGCCAGAGTTTGGATTTAAATGTATTAAGAACTACTGGGACCAACAGATTTTGGCAAAGAGTGGGTTAGGAACTCATGGGACTTTAACATTCAAAGAAGTCTTGTTCATAACATGCCTAATATAAAAGTTATTGAAAAGAAGAAAGTCTAGTTCATTGATGTTGCTATACCAGGTGATGATGGGATAGAGGAAAAGTAATTAGGGGGAAAAATTGCAAAATATTGGGATTTTCAGATCTAAGCTGAATGCTTATGGAAAAAGAAATTTGCTGTTACACCAATTATGATTGGAGTGCTTGGAGTAATACATAAAGGATTCCTTTGATCTTTGGAAATTTTGAATTTATTGGACCTGAACGTCCTAATTCAACAAAACAAACAAACAACACTTTTCTTGGAATTGCCTGTATTTTCAGATGCTACTTTAATATGTCTTAGGTTTTTGACCAGGACTTGAGTTATTAAGTTTCAACTAGTCTTTGTGATTCTAATTCTAGATTATACATAACATTAATTCAATATCAATATTATGATATGTGGCGCTATTTGGAGACAGCAGAAAAGAGAAAGAACTGTAGAAAATAACAAAATACAAGACCTATAAATAGAAATAAAACAACTGTGGCAAAAGAAAGCAAAGGTAGTGCCAATGGTAATAGGTGCCTTGGGTGCAATCCCAAAACATCTGGAGCATCATTTGAACACCATTGGCATTGACCAAATCACAACTAGTCCATTGCAAAAGGCAACTTTGCATGGAACAAACATCAATACCTGCCTATCCCAGGTCATGGGAAAAACTCGATAGCTGGACAAAAATGCCAAATCCAGTCTAAACATCTAGCTGGCTGTGCAATCAGCCATAATAATAATGCAGCAAAGGAACTACAGCTTTGAAATAGCAGTAGGAGAGTTGTTTTAAAACAAACAAACAAAACAGATTCTGAAAGGAAGAAGAGAATGCTGCTTTCGTGTTCAGGAAACTCTAGAAGCTGTTGACTTAACAGATGATAAGTGATAAATGATAGATAATGATGAGGGATGATGATGATTGTCCAATATTGGAAACACGTGAGATCCTAGAAAACTCTGGAGAGACACTTTGGTGTCCCATATGGAGTTTGGTCACAGCAGAGCAGGACCAAGATATTTCTGTCTAAGGAGCAAAAGCTCCAGAGAGCAAGGGCCTTCTTGAAAAACCCTGCTTACAAAATGTCATGAGAGGGCCATTTGCAGCAGAGAAGAAATAACATCTGAGGCATTACTGATGATTTCTTTATAAAGCTAAATGCATCACTATTAGAAATTCCTAGGAATAAAAAAAGAACACTCTTGGCATTTAGGTCTCCATCAAATGGAGGAGGGAGGAGCCAGAAAGAATGAGACCCAAGAAAGGATAACAGGCTGGGAGAGTAGAAGACGAAAGAGACTCAAGTGAGGTCTAAGCATAGGAACAGAAGTTATAGTGTTGTGGATTATTCATGGTCAGGGCAGCTGGTATATAGTCTAAATAGCTAGAATGTATTCTAGATTAGAGGTCCCCAGCCTTTTGGGCGCCAGGGACTGGTTTTGGGGAGAGAGGCTTTTCCGTGGACCAGAGGGTGTGGGGTTTTATGTGCTGCCTGCATCTCGTAGATGGGGCTTTGTATGGACCAGTTGCTGGCATGCCACGGCCTGGTACTGGTCCATGGACCGGGGGTTGGGGACTCCTGTTCTAGATAAACCATGGGAAGCTATATGATCCATCAAACACTGGATAGATAGATAGATAGATAGATAGATAGATAGATAGATAGATAGATAGATAGATAACCTTTGTCATTTTTTTACTGAGTGCACACTGGCACACATTGAAAATGAAATTTTGTTGCTTGCTCTCATACACATACATAACACATTTAAACATGCTATATACAACTTCACCCTTACATATAAATAACATAAATATTAATCACTGTCCATCTTGAATACATAGTGGAAAGAGGAAGCTTTAGAGTTCACAAGGTTGATATTGTATGGAACAAAACCGTGACTGAATCTGGATGTTTTGCTTCGGATACCACAAAGCCTCCTCCCAGAAGGTAACAAGGAAAACAGGTCATGAAGAGGCTGTGTAGTAGTCAACTTACGAGCATAACTGGGACCAGAATTTCCTTTGCTGAGTAAGGTGATTGTTATCTGAGTCACACTCTATTTTATGATCTTTTTGCCACAGTTCTTAAGACAATCACTGCAGTTCTTAAGTGAATCATGTGATTGTTAAGCAAATCTGGCTTCCCCTATTGACTTTGCTTGTTGGAAGCTGTCTGAGAAGGTCACAAATGGTGATCACATGACCCTGGGATGCTGCAAGTGTCATAAATACATCCTGGTTGCCAAGCATCCAAATTTTGATCATGTGAGCATGGGAATGCTGTCAGAAGTGTGAGGAGCAGTTGTAAGTCACTTTTTTCAGTGCTGTTATAACTTTGAATTGTTGCTCAACAAATAGTTGTATACCGAGGACAACCTATAGCAGTGATGGCGAACCTTTTAGAGACCGAGTGCCCAAATTGCAACCCACAACCCACTTATGCATCGTCGGGTGCCGATGGGTGTGGCCCATTGGCTGCGTGTGGCTCATTGGCTGGGCATGGCTGAGGTGGTAATGGCAGACTGTGACTTGTTGTTGTTAATTGCGAAGTCGTGTCCGACCCATCGCAACCCCATGGACAACGCTCCTCCAGGTCTTCCTGTCCTCCACCATCTTCTGGAGTCCATTTAAATTCACACCTACTGCTTCAGTGACTCCATCCAGCCATCTCATTCTCTGTCGTCCCCTTCTTCTATTGCCCTCAATCCTTCCCAGCATTAGGCCCTTCTCCAGTGAGTCCTTCCTTCTCATTAGGTGGCCAAAGTATTTGAGTTTCAGCTTCAGGATCTGGCCTTCTAAAGAGCAGTCGGGGTTGATCTCTTCAAGGACTGACCGGTTTGAACGCCTTGCAGTCCAAGGGACTCGCAGGAGTCTTCTCCAGCACTGTGACTAAAAAGTTCAATCAATCAATTCCAACTTTGCAAGATCTTTTTTTTTCCTCAAGAAGTTGATATTGACTGATTGATTGAACCTTTTTTTTTGTACACAGCGGCAGAGGCCTAAAGCGAAAAGGTTTTATAAAACCCAGCTGAAGGCCCAGGACTGGGGTGACAGCATGCGTCCCCACAAAGAGGGCTCTGCGTGCTGCCTCTGACACCCATGCCATAGGTTCGCCATCATTGACCTATAGCTTGCTTGAGGCAGAAGCAAAGGCAAGAATGATCAAACAAAAAGATCTATAGATCACTTTCATATCTGAATTCTAATAGGAAACCTTTAGAAGTTTAAATAATAAAAATAACAATCCTACAAGGATTAGTAGAAACTTTGCAATTCTATATATAGAACAAGGGTTTCCAGCATGTGGGGATTGTGGATACATTTAGAAATCTGGGAAACTAGTACAGGAACCACCATGATATGGTTGTCGTGGCCCTCTGCATGAAGATGACTTACAAAATGGTGCTTTTTGAACCTGGAAACAGACAACCAGTCTCCTTAAAAAAATTGTCCTCCTTTCCAAAACAGGCTGACACCCCTTCCCCCTCACCAACACATTAGTGGCTGAGGCTACTGAACTTACCCTAATGGTGGGGTTTATTTTTATCTCGTTTTTGGACACCATATAAGTCTATTAAATTGAGAACATTTTTCTTTTATCCAAAAGGTCAATCTACTTATCAATTATACAGTTTAGTTATGCTTGATTGCCCAATTAAGAGACTATTCATAAATCTTGCTTTTTATTCTTTTTGGAGTGCTACAAAATTATGGACAGTTATTTAGATTCTTGCATATAACATCACTTTTTTATTCTATGAGTGTATAGTAATACAAGTACTCCTTGACTTGCACCAACCATAACTGGGCCAGAATTTCCATCGCTAAGCAAGGTTATTGCTAAGTGAGTTGTGCTCAATTTTATGACCTTTGATACCATGGTTCTTCAGCAAATCATAGCAGCTGTTAAATGAATCTGGCATCTCTTTGCTTGTTGGAAGACAGCTGGGAAGATCACATGACCCTGGAATGCTCCAATTGTCATAAATACATACCAGTTGTCAAGCATCTGAATTTTGATCATGGTGTGTGAGGATGGTGTGATGGTTGTAGTCAAGTCACTTTTTTCAGTTCCCTTATGCCTTCAAACTGAATGGTTGTAGTCAAATTGAGAACTTATTGATATGTATGACTGATTCTTACACCTAGTGGCTAAAGCGATAAACCTGTCCAACAGATTTATGGATGGGGAAGCTCTGATTTATCTTAGAGCCGTGCAAAGCTTCAAAAGGCTGTTTTGCTTCAATGATGCTTCATATGAAACTCTTCATTGAAGGGCTTCAAGAGGCAATATGTTCTCCTACTTCTAAAGAGCAAAGTACATTGTTTTGGTCTGTATCCTTTGGACAGCCTCCAACAGCACTTCCACTATTTGGAAGAATCTTCTCTTCACTGTAGAAATATCTTGTG